TGTACTTAAATGCCAGAGAAACAACAATAGACATCCACATGCATGAATGACCTACCTAAGTCCTACCCGGTCAAGCTATTTTTTGGGCATCAGTGAAGGAGACAAGGTGCATATTTCAAAAATCATTTATCTCGACACCTGGTTTAGCAATCTTGTATGCTTACTATCAAAATCCATTTCTCCATAGACGAAAAATGTATGCATTTTATTAAGAACATATCTCCTAGATAATTAATTAGGAGAAAACCGGATGAATATCAAACACGAGGAGAACCATCTCTTCGTACGGTGGTGGAGTTGTGGGGGCACGACTCCACCCACCAGGTTTCAAATCCTAATACTCATAGTTATATTGTATGGGTCTCCCATACAAACATTTTATCAAAAGAAAAACTACCATATACAAAGACATACACCTAAATGAATTAACCTTGGATCCCAATGTATATTGGGATTTGAAGTGATGGACACTACAAACAAAACATGCCACGAAAACACCGACAACCAACTGGCTTGAAAAGGAACCTAGGACATGGTTTGCTGGTGACTTGACGTGACAAAAATATGGCAGAATACCATGCACCTCTATATGTGATAGTTATATCCAAATTTATTCCTCCATAAAGAGGAGAGAAGACACTTACATCCTTGAAAAGCACCCGAGCCACACCATCCGACAGACCATGAGTTCCAAAATAAAGTAGTGCACCGCCACCAAAAGTTCCCATTGCACTGACCTTACACCATGCCAGGCAAGCCAAATCGGGAGTAACCTACTAGACAAGATGTTAGGAAAATCCAGCATCCAAATGAGCACGAGGATATCCACGCCATAAGACCTCATACCAACTCCAAGAAAATGCACTCACATTTGTTATGTTAATCTTGTTTGCACTGTACACTATTTTTGAGTATTCACTAATTTGATATGTAACTTATTATTCATAGTATGCTATGTGGCGCACTAGACCAGGAGGATTCTATGGTCTTCGAGCTGAAATTATTATATGGGGTTCACCAAATCAAGAATACTCTCAAGACTCCGGAGCATCCATACAAATTTATTGTCAAGATGGAGGACACTACAACTTAATTGAAGCCGGGTTTCATGTATAAACATAACACCCATCGCCGTAACTCGACCAGGAGGACCCAATAAACTGCTATTTCAAATTATGCTTTGGCTTGTAGGTATCCCCTTCTTTGTATCATAACAGAGATGTCCGTTTCTTCACATATTGGACGGTAAGTGTAAACTTGAACGTTTAATAACACACATAGGTATCAATCTAAGTATAGGTATTTGTAGATCGACAAGACTAAAGTTTTTTTCAACCATTTTCCAGAAGGACTTTAAATCAGCGAGCTGCTACAACTTGCGGTGCAAAGGATTTGTTGCTGCAAGTGGAACTGCACTAGTGCCCGGGCAAGCGATTACTCCTCCATCAAGTTATGGAGAGTATGACCACTACATTAGGCTTAGTCTTAATAAGGTGCACCCTTTATCCCGGTTTAAATACTAATATACTAGTACATGATTAGAGCTGAACATACCGATACATGATTACATTTGAACATGCAAAATTCGGTTATGGGTTAATTCACATAAATGCCTCCACAATAATATGCTATGGTGCTTTACTACTACAAGAACATGAAAGTTAAGGAACTATTTTTTTTACTTCAGGCTTAGATTCTTGCTAACCACAACATGTTTCTACTTTCCATTTGCATGAAAATGGACATCACCCCTCATCGATTACAAGATCCCAAATCCGAAGATTGGGTGGTGTATCGTCATGATTTGCAAACCCCATCGTTCTTGGGTTATTTTCCAGTGGAATTTTGTTCCGGAACACCACGTATACAAGCATTGACTGGATTTGTCAATTACTTAAATAGTACTCGTGGTCCTCCAATGGGTAGTGGCCACTTTCCTGATGAGAAGGACGATGACAAGACAACTGCGTACTTCAGGCATTTTAAGAACTATGACTCCAAAGGTCGTGCTTTTGAACCAATTACAGTTAATATGGCCCCCTTTAGTTGACAAGACGGATTGTTACACGGAAACTGATTTCCTTCCTGGTATCAACAAGGGGTACCATTTTCACTATGGTGGACCAAGTGGTTGTGTTGGTTAAAGGCAAATGTTTGTTTTGCATGTCATAAATAATGTTCTTAATGGCCAAACAACGTCCCTCACTTGTTTATTTTTGCATGACAAGTGGGGTCAACTATCCCAATGTTCTTAATGGCCATCTCGTTTGGTACTGAGGTCAACTATCCCAATTTAGTCTCTTTTTTGGATAACTGGGTTTTGGCTACACACGTATGTGTTAATCAAACTTCAAACTATTGGAAGATAAAATACAACCATTGGATAACTAAATTATATATACTTAATAACTTCCAAGTAGAATAGGAGAGCATCTTTTTATTAGCAACTTAAATGGTAAATAGAGTACAACTAAAATTAGCCACCGAAAATAAGGCTAAATATCTTGGTAATGCCATTTTAGAAAATATCGTCAAGAGGAAGCTTATCAGCAACAACAAAGCAAAACACCTTTTGAGGAATTGTAGACTCTACCACTGGGTGGGGAGGTAAAAAAATGAAAATTTGAACTTGAAAATTTTGCAAACTGTTTACTAATATCTAAGCAACAACAAGACCCCCATCCACTTGTCTTGTTTCCTTTTCTTTTCCATAAATATGAGGCGAAAAACAATGTCCCACAAGGATGTATAGTACCATTGTCAAGTAGTCTCTCAAACAGTTAGTTGGAGAACCGATGACTAAAAGCGTAGGGTCTGTAGTACCTTTTGCTAAAGTATCATCGAAGACATTTTTTATCCAAAGATTAAACATTTCCCCTTTCCACAACTAGCCTGAGACCCGAGCTATTAAACATTTCCCCTTTCCACAACTAGCCTGAGACCCGAGCTAGATACACATGCAACCATGTTATCAATCAAAAATAGTCATCGTCTTCTATGAAACTAGATGACCCATTGCATCCTTGGCGCAAAGATCAATTGCAATCAAGAAGCCACACATCCTATGAATAACATGTTTTATGAATGATCCACAAAGGGCAGCCCGGTGCATGTAGCTCCCGCTTGCGCGGGGTCCGGGGAAGGGTCCGACCACTTTGGGTCTATAGTACACAGCCTTTTCCTACATTTCTGTAAGAGGTTGTTTCCTGATTTTTTTATGAAGGATCCACAAAATGGCCAAAATCAAATGCCACCAAAAAGTTAGGTGAGCGATTTGAAGGATATTTTTCCTGATTTTGAATTGTATGTAGATGATTATGTTCATATTGCTTTTAACTAGTGACAGATAACGATGATCGTTGCCTATGGCTTTCCTTGGTGAAAGTTATTTGCTTGAACATGTGAATGGACCCTAAGTTTTTTCTCTTCATGCTCTGGCTTTTCTTCATTTTGAAATTGTGAAAATAACCGTGAGGTTAAATGGGACTATTACTGCCTACTACATCCTCACCTACGATGATGATCTGTTACACCCTTTCTTATACGAGCACGCCACATTAAAAAAAAGTTCAGATGGTCATACGTCACAAGTTGTGCCGGATCATGCGCTGTTAGAAAAATAGATGACCCGTTGTATCCTTGGCGTAAACATAAAATGCCCAGAAAGTAAGGTACACTGTTTTTGCTATTTTTTTGCCCATATAAGTTGAATATGATTGTACATGATTGTACGACAAAATGGTAACTGTCCTACCTAGTCTATGAAGAAGGTGCGGCGAATATAACCGACCAGGTTTGGTAGATACATCTCAACCGATAGTCTGGTGTGCACCCCTCAGCCTTGAGGACGAATAACGCTTGAGCGGGTTGTTTCCAACACACAATCGTGTCCGGGGCCCCCTCGTCTTTCCCCAGTTGCACTTGCCCTGCTTTCTGCCGCTCGCTGCGTTGGCAGTATCCGGGAACACACGGTTGGCTGGAATGTACGTCCTCATCATTAGCACTCACTGTGTCGAGGTTTGCTTGCTTGACTTATTTGTGGACGCTTTTCTGCTTTTTGTGTGTGAACTATAGTTGATTTTGTTTGTGCTGGTTTATTTGCACGCTGTTGTTTCGTGTGTGTGTTCCTGTCGTAGTTTTTACGGTCTATTGTTAGTCCCTGTGCACAAGACATGTTAATTTACGTAAACAGTGGCTTCCCGGTTGGTCGCCCATTCCCAAATTAACCCACAGGTAAACTAAGCTAGAGATTCTTTCGAGATGAGCCTCCAGAAAGGAAGGTGCCCCTTGGATAATATGAGTTGTCTATTATTTCAACCATGTTTTCAAATTTTTAAATCAAATGCAGCCTAAAAGTCAGGTAAAATATGTTTCTTGCTTTCTTGCCGCGCATAAATTGGAACAATTGAATATGATTGTATGGCGAAACGATAAGACTACCCACAATGGGAGTAACACAGGTAGTAACATCACATATATCTAGGTTAAATAGATGATGTGGCATACAATAAATGAAGAAAGAGATGAAAGTGATAATATAGCTAGTTAATACTAGTATGAGTAACATCACACATATCAAGGCAAGATATATGCTCCATGTTACCACACACATGTTACTTCCCATTATAGAGGTAGTAACATAAACTAGTATCATGCCCATGTTACTAGTCTATGTTACTACCCATTGTGGCTAGTCTAACCGTCCTACCCAGTCTTGGAAGAAGATGCGCCGAGTACACCCAACCTCAGACAGACTCCGCCAACCAGCATTGAAGAAGGCCAGACAGACATACAACAAGCGCTCGTTCGCACAGGCGATACCCGGATCATGAGCCGAATAGAAGGTGATGCACATAACAAGCATCTGGTGGTTGTTTGAATCGTGCGAATGTTCCTCGACAGCCCAAGCGTTCGCTGGCTTTGTACGGTCGACAGGGAAACATCAAGCTGAATGGCTCAGCTTGAAATACACACGAATAAACAGTCGATGGTGCTGATCACCCACCAAAACAAAGTATATTATCCCAATTACGACCAAAAAGCCAAACGGACCATTTGAAGAAGTTTTCTCAAAATTATCTGCAAAACATGATGTCAATGACAATGCTCATGTTGCGTTCTCTTACACCCATCCTTTTTTCGCGGTATGATGGTGTCCCGGCTAAGGGGTCTCTCACCACGTCGACTCCCAGTCTGGTGGACTAGACTGAGGACCCCTTGTCAGTTTTGTCCTGGGCCGCTTTGGGAGGCTATGGCGTATCACAGAAAGATTCTAGAAGGCTTGGAGTACACGACAAGATGCTGGGTTCATGGAGGATTCTGACTCCTAATACCTAACTGGCCAGGATCCATGTAAACCTAGGGTCCCCGCTACGCTATATAAGCAGGGGTCTAGGCTCGTAGATAGACAAGTTTACAATCTCGAAGCTTTGTAGTTTATACACACCCAACGCTATAAAACACAAGCAACATGTAGAGTATTATCTTCTCGAAAGAGCCTGAAGCTGGGTAAAATCCTGTGTCCCTGTTATCATCGTACGAAGACATCTAGCTTAGGATACCCTACATAGGGATCTGCTAGATTTAGCTCCGACAATGGTGATCCATGCAGGTCCTGCTAAATGATTGTCACGGTGATGAGAGTCGAGATCAACGCTCAGATCAACTCCGACGCAATTTCCCACCGAGGCAAATGTTCATCTTCGGCGGTGTCATCCTTGTTGCAACTCGAGTGGCCACCTCGGCCAGGTCGAGTCCTTTGCTCCAGAGCTGGATTGTAAGATTTGACAACATGGAGTACAGTCAGGATCTTTTCAGGCTTGGTCTCACTCCAACCTCACGAGCAACATGAGTCGCTTTCCCAGGCCTGATGTCAGATCAGGTCTAGGGCGAGCATGAGAATTTTTACCAGGATCAATTCCAGATCCGATCCCGAAGCCACACTCCTCAGGCAAGATATCAAATCAAGCCCATGAGGAGGGTGAGAAATCAATTCCACTTCATTTCATCTTTCAAACCAAACACCAATATGTAATCACTTCACTTCTTGGACTTGCTTCTACAGAACAGAAGAATGAAATCGACCCATTCCATTGGAATGGAACCATGATATTCCATTCCGCTTCGTTGTTAAACCAAACACACCCCTAGGCGATCTCTGCCCCACCTACTCAGTCTCTCCAAGCCGTCGGTCGCCTCGCCCACTCGAGCCCGCCGACGACGCCTGGCAGCCACCATTCACCATAAGCCTCGAGACATGGATGGAATGGGTATAGCTCTTGGCTCGCCTCGTCGGCCTTCCATTGTACTCTACTCCGTCGCACGCGGCGCGGGAGAGACTCAGTCACGAGAGCGTCCACATGAAAAACGCGGACCACATGGTGACGGCCACGGACGCGAGCGCGTACACCCACACGAAGATCACCGAGCACTCGCTCTCCCCCACGCCGAACAGCTGCGTGATCGTCCCTGCACATGATGATGATGACAGCCGCACGCGCCAATTAGTCATCAGTCAAGCAATCGGGGAAAACGAGAAGTGCATGCGCTAGCAACAGATGTCTCACCGATGTTCATGGCGGGCGGGACGGCGTACTGCAGCAGGAGGACGAACTGGTACAGCGGGTCCGGCCGGATGACGCCGTAGCGGACCGCGGCATTCACCAGCGCGGTGCCCACCAGAGGCAGCAGCACAAACCTGACCACCGCGACGCCGGCGATCACCGACGGCGGGACGCTCGCCCTTCCGCGCATCCCTACAGGAATTAGTGCTCCGGGGCTGTTTGGTTTGCAGCCCTCGTCCGCCACGCCAAAATATTGGCGTTGACCTGAGCACCAACACCTGTTTGGATCAGTACCAATTAATTGGCTTACCCCAGGCTCGTTCACTTCCCCAGTTCATTCTGCGTCCAATTTATTGGCGAGTTCGTGGCGGCCGATTCCTCCGCCAACTTTTTGGCGAGCCAATGGTTGGCGTGGCCGTCACAGGCACAAACCAAACGTAGGGGCTGTTTGGTTTGCAGCCCTCGTCCGCCACGCCAAAATATTGGCGTTGACCTGAGCACCAACACCTGTTTGGATCAGTACCAATTAATTGGCTTGCCCCAGGCTCGTTCACTTCCCCAGTTCATTCTGCGTCCAATTTATTGGCGAGTTCGTGGCGGCCGATTCCTCCGCCAACTTTTTGGCGAGCCAATGGTTGGCGTGGCCGTCACAGGCACAAACCAAACGTACCCGTACCCTCCGTGTTTCAGGCTAAAGTTCAAGTGTTGGTAATTCCTTTTTGTTGTTATATTAATTTTCAGTATATCATTCATCTGTACTACCGAGGACGGCAGGGTAAAGGTTACCTGTGATGAGGTTCCCTCCCATGATCAACGTGACGGATGGAACGGCTGCTCCGCTGCGCAGGAAAACGAGCAAAAATGGTTAGATATGTGGAATGAAACAACATAAATCATCTGTATGACCAACAACGTCAATGGTTACAAGTGACAGCAGCATGAAGTGTTTTTACAAGATAAAAGAAAGAAGGTCGATGTGTTACCCTATTAGTTCACCGGACTCGCGAAGGACACGAAGAGGGGCATCGTCGCCGATCAGAGCATTTCTAATCAGAGGTATTCCTCCAATTATAAACCCGACAATCTACCAAATGATACAAATCAGTCATGCTTATTTTCTAATGGTCTATTGCGACGTAAGGTTGCCCCATATAGAAGCACAATTGGTAGTTTCTGAAACTAGTATACCACTCCAATAGTTGAAGGGGCAAATAGCTTCCTCAGATCAATTGCTCCAGAAACCGACGATATAAATCCTTTTGCTCTCTCCATCAATGGGACCTACATACACACACAAATCCAAATTGTTTAGTGCTGAAAATTGGCAAAACTGTTACGGTGTATTCATTATGCTGTAGCAGACGCCTAGATTGTTGGAATTTAGTCTATATTGAGGGTAGCACAATAACTATTTCAGAAATTCCTAATAAATCCTAGAGGCCCACTGCCCACTTAGCCCATTTGTGCAAAGCAAGGGATACTACTAAAGTTTAGTCCCACATTGCAAGTTTAGTGGGAGCTGGACCTCTAAGTGGTTGTTTGGATAACTAGTATTTGGAACCAGTTTTAGCTAAATCAGTTTTAGGAGTATTTTTAGGAAAACCAGTTTTAAGTTGTTGTTTTATTAAAACTAGTTTATAGAATACTTTGTTTGGACTGTCTCTTTGGGTCATCCTCAACCTTGAGAAAGATTTCAAACTGTTCACATGGGAGGCACCATGCCCAGCACGTCGACCACGGCACGTTCCGCAGCTCTCGACATGCCTATCACGAACATGGAGTTGGGCGTGCTTGATCACGTCATGTCCATCAAATTGCTGGCCGATGCTGGGCCTGGTGCATGCGACCTTCGGGGAACTCAGGCGCTACGTCATTGAGCTGCGCCGTGGTGGCCGTGAGCGCCGAGGAGACGGAGGCCATGACAGAGATGCACAACGTGCTGCGTGGGAAGGTGCTGCGCGCGCCGCGCGGTCGACGTGACGGAGGCTGCAGTGTTCCTTGCGTCTGACCAGGCCGGGACGCCGGTGGCGACAAGCTGGTCTTCGGCGGCGTCACCACCGCCATCAACCCCACCGTGCTGCTCTCTGTCGGCCTCGTCTTCAGCTGATCTACGCGATGCAAAAGAGCGCGCGAGGTAGGTGTTCTCGAGGCTGAACGGCGTGGGCACGGGACAGAGCTGGACTGCTCGAGTAGCCGCTCCTTGAGGAGGTCTCAGGCCGTCGCTTGCCCCACCTGCTGCTTCACTGACGGTAAGAATGGTGGGCTCGCCGACGGCACCAACTTGCTGGATTTGCGCACCTCGTTGACGGATGACGGTCGAGCGAGCAGCAGCCGGGGCACTCACACCAGCACCTGGAATCGGAATGCGACCTTGTTGTACTGGACGCTGCACGCCGTCGTTTCCAGCAAAGCCATGTACATCTCGTCTCGTCACGCACACGACGACCGCAGCGGCGCCGAGCAAGCCCACGGTCACAGGAGAAACGCGGCCGTCGTCCTCGCTGAGGAGCAGTCAGGGCACCTGGAACGGGGCTAACCTTGCCCTAGTAGATGTACTTGAACGCTACCCACCGGCGCATGTCTCATGGAAGCTAGAGTCTGATTGAAACGAACGATAAGCTAAACTGGTTTATAGAAAAACGAGTATTAGTCGTTTTTCCAAATACTCGTTTTCCTGATTTATGGGAAACCAAGTTTTCCTTATCCTGAGATTTGTTGGATCAACCAAACATAGTTTTAGGCGGTTAGAATCCTGAACGCGAATAGTGGAAACAGGTTTGGCATAAATCCCGTATCCAAACAACCCCTAAGGGAGGTTTTTTCCCCACTTGTATGAGCATGAGAACAAGAGGACATCCACGCGCGTTCCTCCTCCGCCGCCCGCCTCGCCTTGTCTCGACGCGACGCGACGCGGGTTGTGGGAATGAGCCGAGCCGATGTCTAAATTAGTTTTGCTATTCGTTTCATCTCCCGCGTTCCCTTCAGCTCCCGGTGCAGCCTCTCGTCTCCTTCTCTTGCGCCTATAAAAGGAAGGTCGCTCCTCTCAGAGAGACGCATCAGAACTTCTCCTTCCTCTCGCCACCGGTTCCAATCTCTGAGCTGCTGCTGTCTTTCTCATCCCGGCTTGCGGCGTGCACCGCAAGTCGGGACAGTAGGCCTCCGAAACCGCACCTCTTTGAGTCCTGTACGGGAGAAGGGTGATAAGGTTTCTGGGGAGCGCTCTGCGCGACTACTGACTGATTCCTTCGTCACGGAAGCCCCGGACTCCGACGACTACTTCCCCGACGACGACTTCTTCCCCGACATCGACAACCTTCTCGACGACATGGCTGGCGAGAACACCGACCCCAAGTCTAGTGCTACTGCTGATGCTGTCCCGTATGTGTTCTTCTTTCTATTAGATATCTTGCCACAGTTTCTCGTACTAGTACTTGCCCTAAATATGTTAGGTTCTACTTCATATATGCAACTAGTTCTACTGTCTGCTATAGATATGGTAGGCTACGGTTCATATATGCAGGAGCTATTTACCTTCTCTCTGTCAGAACGCATGACTTGTTTTCTCTCTACTATATTAGTCATGCTTTACCTAGTATTTCTGTTAATAAAATCATTTGGTAAATTGCTCATATTTCCAACATAGATTAGCCGGATCATGGGTTTACTTGGTGAAATTCGTTTCTGTCAAAATAGGGGGGCTGTTTCCCGAATAGAGTAATTACTGGAGTGCTATTTCAGAGTATGGGGATTTGGAGGTGAAGGAAGTAGGCTATGTGGGGTATTACAACTTGTGCAGAGAAAAAAAAAGGTTCCAGCAACAATAAAAACCTTCGTTTTGGTTCGATTTGATATCAACGGCAGAGTGCATTCGTCGACACGATCTCGATTATCTTCTGAATCTGCACATCTGGTTCCTCCTGAAACCAAGACTTTTGTTTGAGTTATAGGCGAGCTGCCATCTCCTTCAGTGACATTTGAATTTGCACGAATAATGTTATACGCGCCCGTCCACAGAAAGACGGCACCAATCTGCCAAAAAAAAATCATAACTGATAGTGACACGGTGTTCTGTTTTCTTGACAAAAGAACACGATCAGGATTGCCTGATGTGGACAATGTACTGAAAAAACATAGAGTGTACCAATAATCTTACAGCCAATGAGAGCGATGAATAGGCTAGTCCGTAAGTCTGGCAAACACCAGGCGTGCCGAACGGGCTCCCCTTCTCTTTGCAGAGAGCTGGAATGATGATGAGGAAAATGTTGCCCAGATTGCCTGTATCCGTACAACCAAGTCAAGCGAAGACTTCGACGAACTATCGGCGTAGAAAAGAAGGAACAAAACGAGGAGGAATTGTACACTTCTACTCAAGGTGGAGCTGCCCAAGTTCGATCAGTTCACCAAGGTAACTCCAAATGTCTATCTAACCAATAATTAAAATTTCTTAGCAGGTTGGTAGATGTGGTTATCAGTCATTCACTCAGTATTATGGCTACAACCCCTTCCCCGCTGGGAAGTATACACCTTATCAGTGGTACCAGCTGGAGCTGGAACATTATGAGAAAGACCCTTCTTTGCTTTGCTCAATGCACCCACGCAGTTAGCGTCTAAGTGAGACTAAGGGTCTTTCTGGCTCAACACTATACCTTGTTGTTGTCTAATACTCCTTCACGGATTCTAGTACTCCTTGTTGTTGCCTATACATGAGTATTTGTGTATTTTTACTAGCATATTTGGACTGACTTCTGACACTAGCAGTGAGCTTCCCATTCAAGGTAAATGCAGTGCATCTGTACAGGCCCAACCTACCACAAAATAAATACGTGCAGTGCAGGCACTGTACCGCGAAATAAACGTGTGAAAGCACTGTACGAAGTTTGTCTAAAATAGAGAGCGAATTTACTATTTTCTGACGGTTCAGATGGAAAGATAGAGAGGTACCAGCAGAACAGCAGCCCAAAATGAGGCCTCTTAACTTGAGGGGAGCCCCGGTGACTTTTATGACGATCCAACCGAGGATCAACCCGAAGATGAAAGTGAAGAACACATTCACCGGCATGAACCACCTGTATCATGGATCATAAATTGTCAAAAGAATTACTTCTCCTAATCTGATAGGACAATCAAAATTATTTTCTAAAAAGAGTTACTCCCTCCGATCCATATTAATTGTCGCTGATTAGTACAGTATATGGATCGGAGGAAGTATCTATTTATTTATTTACTGAGGGAAAAAAAGAGTTCATTATGCAAGATACTGATAATCAATGAAGATTGCCCAACAGGTGAAATGAAGAAGCGTGTGACTCACAATTTGGCCAAGCTTTCCATGGTGATCGTTTTTGCCAGATAGGTTGCAATAAGAGCTGGATTGAATACATAAAACACTACCTGCAGAAACAAAATTGGTTCAGGAAAGAAGTTGACAGGTTAGTAGAATAAACGGAATATCTTTCGCAAGAAAAAGTAAAATAAACGGAATATGACAGGGACATGATATAGAAAAACTAAATAAGTTTTGTGGATCGATTCGTTGTTATGTTTCACTAGCAGCACTCACATAGTTTAGGTGTTTCCTTGCTTCTTTCCCCAGTATCCCAGCGGAGTCAGTTGCCAAGAACGATCCAACACCAGTAACCAGGAGCATGTTGAGGACGGGCATGCATGCCGTGATGAAGAGCTCCAGGAGCCCCATTTCTGTGGCACCAAGATTCGGATGGATGAGGCGGCGTGGTACCTACTAAACCTGGGCAAACATCGGGCCGGGCCGGGTTTGTAAAAGCCCGACCTTCATTTCTCAAGCCCGAGCCCGGCCCGAAGCCCAAAATACTCCCTGATTTCAAGCCCGAGCCCGGCCCGAACTCAAGCC